TGTCCTGTTGGGATCAAAATCACGTTGTTTCGGATGACTCCGCACGTAGCTATTACGGGGTGATCGAAAAATAAGGCTACGTGCACAACCAACTGTTACCACTCAATCACCGGAGTGCTATGTAAATAAATTATTTGGATACCCTCAACACCGCGTCACACAACGGAGCATTGCATGATTTTCATTCGTTAATCAATTTGTTTTGAGTTGGTTATTGACCTAAATACTTCTACGCGTTAGTAACTAGAACTTTTTCTCGAAAGTGTTTTGGTCAAACTTCGTCAACATCATACCACAAGAACCCCCTAGAAACACTATACAGCTGTTTCATCTGTTAGGAATCATAAGAATTGCATATTCATTGTATCTACTATTATGCGATCTCCGGCGCAATGGTTTTTTTAATCCGACGAGCTGATTACATAGTTCACCGAGGCCGGCTCTCAGCAGCTTACTGCATGTGAACAATACTTGATATCGAGCTTATCGTCAATGTTGTTAAAATACATGACCACACCAGATGACGACCGACTACCCAATTCACAATCTCTCAGCAGGGTTCTACTAAGCTTGACAAGGGACTGTGTACCTATTCGGAAGGTGTTTTGTAAAGCTTTTTGATGATTATTATTCTTCACACTTTATCAACATACTGACAAACAACAGGCGAAACAAATCCACATGTGTATGATCACACGAACAGTTCTTATTGGAAAAAACGCAGTCGTGTGCTCGCGTATTCCAACGAGATGATTCACGTGTGCCTTTTTGTGGCCAATGGGTAGTGAACTCGCGTACACAAATAAAAACACTGGCAAACGAGGCAACAGATAAACTGAACGATCAAAACCAGGCGCGCAAGGAAACGAACGCACAGACTTCTTGGGCAAGTGTATGAGGCTGGGCACACATTCACGTTAAGTGCTACCAGTCTGAGCACTTAATCACATGACAAATGAAGAGGAGGGTGTGGAGTGTTTGAGCAGAAGCTCAGCTGCACAATGAGGTTTTTACGGAGAAATGTATCCTTGTTTTCGAATTTCCCGCGCTGTCTTGGCCAATGTTTTGAGAGAGAGGTGGGAAAACAAACACAAAACCTTTATTTCAGGACAAAGTTTATATACTACGACCCAGGTTGTATCTACACAATCAGCAACCCATAGGTAGGATCAAGATGTGTGTATGCAGTTGCTTGTTCGACTGGTTAGGAGGCATGATGAATGATAACAAGAGATTCATGTTTGTGTGTGTTTCGAAAGACTATTTCCACCGTTCCCATCGGAACAGACGGTGAAGAAAACAGCGGGCCCTGTTCCAGAGGCCATAAATTAAGTAACTGCAATCATACCGTGACCGACAGAGACCAGATTTTCACAGAGTAAACGCGTTTATGACATAAATAAAGATGCTCTGCATCAGCGTGCGCATATCTTGTGTGTGTGGCTGTGTATGGTTGCAGATGTACAGAAACAAACAAACAAACCGTTTATCGGTTACTTTATCTGAGATGGAAAACAATGAATGAGTGAGTCTGGAGGTGAGGAAGGACTGTTGTTCATCTGACGGGAGAGTGAACTTCACAACAGTGCTTGAACACGTTATTGAATTATGATAATCGAAGAAAATTGGCATATACGGGACGGATAGTATGTATGGAAGATCAAGAATGTTTGCTGCAGGTACAGCACTGTTTGACAGAGAATTGCAACCAATTAGTGCATTGATTCATAAAAGGCAAGACTTTTCAGGGCTAAGCAAGCAGTTTGTGTGGGAGCGAGTTATTTTGGGTTCTGGACTAGGCTGCAGCACAAATGTGTCTATTCATATATGTGTATTTGTTTGTTTGTTCGTTTGTTTATAGGACCCGTGGGTGTAAGAGGGTAGAGGTGAATAAAAAGCGAGTGATCGAGGTTGTTTAAATATTTAACACAAATTCGGCGTTCAGAGACAGAATGGTACTGAATATTGTCGGACGGGAAATTTTAAGGCACAGTATGGCGAGAATAGAAAAGTTATACATTTAGTCAGACTGAAACACATAGACAAACAGTAACAATAGAACAGAAGCAAGTTAGGCCAGATGGAACGGAAGCATCAATAATCAGTGTGTTTACTCCGCAAATTTTCTTTGCCTATCCCTGATCACACATTGGTAGTGTGCTCATTCATCACATACGTGATCCCGGAATCCAGTTCCATTGTCATCGATTCGTTGGGCAAGTTGGAATTCCGCAGGGTTAAGCTGTCTTGCATACTGCCTGAGTGAGTGGGTGACAAAGCGGAATCGTTTGATTCCGCCATACCATGTACCATCTTGTTTCGGGGTGAACTGAGAGCAGTCTGACTGGGATCGAGGGAACTGCGACCACTAGGAGTTTCACCCAAGTATGGACTTTCACGGACTTGGGCCGGAATTCCATGGGTCAAATCTAGTGTGGTGATTTGAGGCAATCCGTCCGGTGTGGCCGTAGTTGTGGTAAACAGACATGATCCGGTCATTGGATCGAAACCGCCACAGGCTTGCAAATTCAATGCATCCGGGAGGAAATCAGGCGGTGCTTGACCAACCATATTTGGTGTGGTTGACAGGATGGTGGGACAACCCGCGAGAAAGGCGGATTGTGACGAGTTCAACAGACGTGGATCAATGGCCGAAATGTAACCGCCACCGTTACATAGAGGTTGAATAAGTTGACAGGAGGAAGATATGGTCGGACAGTAGGCGGACGAAATGCCAACAGGGAAAGCTCTGCAAACAAAACAATATCAGAGGTTTGTTCTTCATAACTTTAAGTGAACCTACTGATACATACATATATAGGATTAATTTGTACCATACAAACGAACTTTTCTTCCAATGTTCAATCGAAATATGATCTTTAGTATGAAAATCCAAAACATTAATTCGAATCTTATAGTTCCATCAGGTTTTTGTGCACTTAACTAGCAAACCTGTATTTCATTGATGCTATCACTTTAAAATACATTAGGCAGAACAAACCAAATTTCAGGGCCAGTAAATCACACCGGGTATTTAGCTAGTGTTGGCTGGAGCTTTTGGATGGGATGTATTTGTCAGTCATGCAAATTAAGCAATGTGATTGTCGTAACCCCGGTTTTTTATTCTTATTATTACGTATCACTCTCAGGTCATTTGAAAGCCCCAACCAGACATGCGTGGATGTGCTCGTCACATGTTTTCTGAAAATCTCCTGATATAATCGATCGCGGTCAGGTAACATATCACTGGTGATGCCATTTCGGCGGCCAACCGAAGACGGAGATTTTCAGGGTTCAGCCCAACATGAAGTGCGTGAACCTGCGAGTATTGAGACTGAACTCCTCGCTGGAATGCAAACTGAACCCATGGAACCGCGAATGGGTGTACGTGTTTATGGGTGGTCATCATTGGGACGTAATTTCAAGTTAGCCATCCTCAGGAATTAGTCTCTCAAAATGAAAAGGCAAATAAATGCCATGCTATTGAACAACAGCTAAATGGAACTGCAAGCCGTTTATTTCAGAAACGGAAGTGTTCCAGACTCATAATGGTCTCTGAGACCTCGTTCAGTTGTACGCTACTGAACGTTCCAATAAATCAATCTATATCTTCGGAATATCTGTTGATATTGGGTCGATTTACACTGGAAGCGGTTGATTCAATTCAAATACTGGTAAGGTTGAACAGATTGAAATGTATGTTGGCATGAGAGTACAGTGAAAATTCAGGCGTAGAAAATAATCAGGTCACTAAACTTGAAGGTATGCAATAGGTTATTTACGACTATCCCTGATGACCAAAATGAGGGCGCAACTCACCTCGATTGCCCAATGAACTATCGGTCATATAATTCGCTTTAACGCTGAATGTTTTGCAAGCTAGATAAGCACCTTCACATTCATCTACAGGAAACAATACTGTCGTTGTAATGTTGAGCATGGCACATTGTTGTCGAAAAATTGCCACTGTGAGACTACGCGGTACTTACGAGTTGGAACAAAGATCGCCTTTCGATTCGTCGTAGTAGCACTTATCCTGTCCCAGTTTGGAACTGTTGTGCATGGAACGCTGTGATGAAAAGAGCAAACAAATGGGGTAAATTACACAACAAATTTCACTGGTCGTTGAAATTCAGGGTCGTTTAGTCGTCATTGATAACTTTGGTTTGAATCAAACAATTCGAATGACAAAATATAGATGAACAGCATACATAACCAGCACATACGAGTAAGGTCACCCTCATTTTTCATCGTAGATCGTGTGTTTAAACACTACTTTCCCCAAACCGGTTTTCTGTTTTCAGTATCGCGTGATAGTCCTTTGAATGACCACTTGTCTCTTCCTGAAAATTGGTCCGTAAAATTACGTATTAAATTAAAAGAAGACCAGTGTACTGTTATATCGGCTATGAGGCTCTGTTTGGGTGGTAAGCTCGTATTTGACCTGTGAAGCACCGAGTTTGATCCTCGATTGGGTCCGCGGATTTGCTTCCTGCTGGCAGGAGACACACCAAGGTTAAAATAAGTGACAAATTTTCCTAGCGTTTTAGTTCCTGCTTCCCTTGCTCTCTGTACAAATAAAATTTATCGTGTGTCCGAAGCAAATCCTCCAATAACTCCATTTTGTGAAGGGCTAAATAACACGAAACTAAGACGGTTTCCTAGATGAGATTTATTTTAATTGGACTGACTGCGTGCTAGTTCTTCAGCAAACAAATTCCTGAGTCTGTGGAAGCAATTGTGGATAAACGTAACACAAGCAGGACACATTCCTTTAGGTGCAAACGTTATATTCTCTCACTCTATAGATCAATATTTTCGACTTGACCATATGCGCACTCTTGCAATGTATGCCGCAATCGTATATCAAAAGAAACCTCTTCTTAGGAATGAATCGACAGTCCATTATAAGGATAGACAAAAAAATTAGAAGCAAAACCCATCAATAAATAGTTCTCAGAGTAGTTATCTCGTTAATAAGTCGATAAATAAGATAGGATTATATGCAATGTATCTATTGCCATAAAAAGCAAATACAGTTTGAAAATTGAATGATCGATGATTGTTTATCAAACTCATTGAGGCATGCGTTTATGTGACATCCGAATCACTATTGGACAGTGGATAAACTTGGTGACTTCTAAAGAATTGCCACGTGTTATGCTTAGGCACACCTACAGGTCTAATCGGAACCGAAGCAACGGGTCCCTGTGAAACACTTGTGGGTTTGTATAGGCAACAGTATTTATACTGAAGTAAATTTATTTGCCAAATAATAGTAAACAAGCCTCGCTGAGTTTTTATAGCATTGATTTTCCTGATTCGTTTATACTCAGCAGATGGATCAGTTCAGAGTGTAGCGGACAATCCCATTTCGTCAGTAGTGGTTGACCTAGACCATGATGATTTGAGAGCTAATTAAAGAGAATAAAACAATTTTTATTTGCAACAAATTAACATTGACAATAATTAAGATGTAAAGTTTATGTACACTAATAGTTTTTCTTTGTTCTTTAGGACTTTTAGAGTCTCTTCGGCATCGAATCCACCAACCTTTTTATGAAGTCATTTTCTATTTTTGTGCTCCATTACGTATCGCACTTTTACCTCCAATGTCCAATGTACATTGACCTCTTCTTCAAAAAGGGCAAACAGATTTTCAATTACATCGAGATCCGGGCTACTATGGGAAGTTGCATGAACTGGACCTCAGGTCATCCTTCTATTTGTATGTACTCGGCTTACGGCCTCAACAAGCTCTTCTGGCAGCTGTTTTTCCATGGATTATCCTGTAAATCGTGCTTTTGTTCACTTTGAGGTTTTGGACAAGATTTTAGATGGAGAATCTTAGCTTGTGTGCTCATGCAATTTTATTTCTTTCCTTTTCACTGAGATAACGAGAACTTTTGGTTTCGAACGCTGTTTGCTTCATTATGGTGACAATAATACGAACACCCAAATGTGTGCACAAAAATGACCTTGATTTTAATTTCGACAAGGATGAAAATGGTATTTTTCAAAGTCATTGAGTTAACTATCAGACATGGATTATCATTATTAAACCTTACTTAATGCGATTTCTTCGAGTTGTGAAAGCCTTTCATTAGTTGTTCAATATAACTACTATAATGAATTATAAATGGAATAAAATAATGCCTCATATCAAATGACCGAGATGGTAGGGGTTTATGACAATAATTTAGGATAATTCTTGAGTCACTCCTTGTAGAATATATTGCATTTTCATACTTGATAAAGTTTGCAATTTTCATGTCGAGATTAATTAGTCTTGGCAACCAAGGCCAGGCACGTTTAATTGGTAGTAGTCATGCAGCCCAGAAACTACGTAGATAGAAATAGATAAGATATAAATTATTGTCCATACCTAAAGCATTAATACAGCTGATAAATATAATCAAACTCAATTTGATCAGAAAGAAAATACTTTAATGCATCACAATCGGCCAGTACTGTAAGTATACTGTATTGATGGGAATACGAGAAGCACATTTAAACCCAAACCTGCTTACTTGTTCATCCATGTCAGAACCACATCGAACATAATTGCCTTGAAGATGAGCATTGCTAGTAAACCAAGGATAATAGGCTTGGCGCTGCGCTCCATCATGGCCGTTGGCGGGTACTTTGAATTCCGCATTGACCACTCCGTAGTCTTGTAGTGAGGGCTGATTGGATTTGGGAACTTGCAGTGTCTGTGTAGGCGCTGGGCGTCCTTTGGGAAAAATTGGAGGAGAAAGAAACAACGGAAACAATTACATGAACGATCAAAAACCACTTTAACAAGAGGACTACTTAGAATCAATTAGTATCTCCAAACTGTTAAGTCTCTACTACAGCAAACATGCAGATGGAAAATTGGATATCGGAAAGAAGACCCGTCTAAATGGACACGGAAAGACGAACTACTGCTGTGTGTTCACTCATTTACTGGGACTGTTTGTCGTAAACAACTCCGGTCGAAATTACATAATGCTGGGCAAAAAGACTATTAGAAAAGAAATTGACCGAATAGGCTTATTTTTTAGTGCTCGAGTGTGCATTAGCCGGATTCAGCGAACAGGATGTCAACCAAATGGACAGTTATCCGCCATTCTGGTCTTGCTCACAGCTGAAAACTGAGGAGAATGTAACTACCTTTATTCTATTCTATTGTATTTTTCAAATTTTGCAAGCACTGAAAAGTAAATTTCAGTAAAAATTCTGTACCTATCAACTGTCACCTTGAACATAATTTTGCAGAGAGCATGGAGACATTTCATAGTCAGAGGTTAAGACGAAATTCACTTGTTGCCTCCTGTTTTGTGCCAAATAGGGCACATATGAAAGTGGGAGAAACGCGCAAGAAATGACCCAAGCCGAAATAACGAATTCAGCTGGTACTTTTATTTTTACTTTACTTCCGTTTAGAGGATACATGATGATGCAGTTTTCAGGAAGGGGGAAGCGGTCAATCAAAGGGCGGCCATAAAACATATGNGGGGGGGGGGGGTATCATGCGGTGGTGATGAGATTCGAACACACGTCATCCGGCGCGATAATTTGGTGACGTTACCACTACACCAGGAAATTGAAAGGAGCTTACCAGAAACCTGCGGGCGATTCAATCCCTGCTATGATGGTGTTCGACGAATATCAAAACCGATCTCATAGTTTTTATAAAATTTTTGAGAAGAACGGAAATGTTCACAAAGAGCACATCACTTGTAAGCCCAGAGTTGCTTTACAGGATCGATTAGTAAAAAGGTAGTTTAATATTCACGATTGTCCCAAGAGCCGTGTCCCAAGCCGTATACAGCTTGAATTTGAAGCGACTATAGGTAGTCTGCCCTGTTTCAGATGTAGGAACTGCAATGTGCCAGTTGTTGTGATTCTCCATTTCGAATATTCGCAAAACCATTGTTACACAGCTTCATCGATGTTCTCTGTCGGCAGAAAGAACCTTAATCCGCCGCGGTCCCTGTTGATAGCCCGTCTGATTCTGATGACTGCCAACCAACCTTCTCTTCGTTCATACACAAGCGTGCATCAGAAGGTGAACCCACTCAGTTAATTTTGCTCCACTCACTGTCTGTGTGCTCAGCATTATGCACTTTGGACCAGAGTTGTTTAGGATAAACAACACCCAGTATCAGTTTAGGTGTATCTTGTTCGTGGCATAGAGCAGCAGTGCAAATGTGATTATCTGGACAGTTGTATGCTTTACTCGGGGAACGAAAAACTGAGCGATCGTAACCCTTTTACTCATACCCATTCTCCGACACAGATGAAATCTTGTTACAACTAACGCGTTAAATTACCGACAAGCATGCGTGTGAGGAATTACTTGAGTTCTCAATTGGGGATTTTTCTCACTCAGTGTAGAAATGCCCACTGAACTTCTGCTCACTTGAGATGTGGAACACTTCATACTAAATTTATTAAATTTGCATTTCCACTGGAACTAATATTCAAGTGAGCCTTGGTCAATGCATTCAAAATTTAAAAAAAAAAACAGATCCATGCTATTGATCGGTAAGACTTTGGTATATAAAATACACGTGATCAAATGTCTAACGATTGCACAATCAGTTGGTTAATGTTACTTAATCACATTGAGAAACGTGTTATGTTTTCGTTTTGAACCATTCCAGGAAACAGTAAATTTTTATTTCAATGAAAACATACAACAGATTAGAAGTGCAGTGATCTATGTTATGGCTTCACCTGTGATAGAATTGCTGATTTTAAGCGCCTGTGCACTTGATTTGTTGACCAATTCTAACTGCTCCTAGAGACCCCAAATGATCTAAACGCGTCCCAAATCTCCTCACTTCCTGATCATTTTCGCACCCACCACTGAATCATGTGCCGCTTTCATTTTCTGTCAGGCATCTTTAATACCAGTCACATGATATGCGAACACGCTATCATGTTCCAGTCGAGTATGCTCCTGAACAAACCATGCTTCATCCAATCTTCTGTCTGTTAATTGACCAGAGTTAGTCTACATTATGGTCGTATTTTGACCAACTTTGCATTCATTCCTCAGATCGCAATTTCGCTTAAGAGCTATCTGTGTGAACTCACGCCAGTCTTTGTTGTTGGATTTGCCCTATGTGGTGTGTATAGCTGTTTCGCAGGATTCCCTTTCTCGAGGCTTTGATGTTCGCTGTTAGATCGACTTCATTCAAATGATCGGATTGCCCCATAACTTAGGACACTGTAGTGTGTATTATTTCATCGTCTCTCACTTTCCTCTAGTACACGCACATTATCAAACGTTTTGTACATGCCACTCAACCACTGAACTTCGACCCGAAACGCTTCCTCTATTCAAAGATCGATTCAAACCAACCAGTTAGAATTCACTATTGGGTGTTCCGCTCTGATTGATTCGTCGTCTGATCAACATAGCCCAGAGTTGCACGTACTGAGTTCTTATTTGATTGTTTACTTGTGTGCTTACGACTATTCTGGCGTATTTACTGAGGTGTTCATTATGTCGGATATAAGGAGTTATTCAATTACCGCATTCTCCCTACAATTATGACAACAAAGATGTGGTGATCCTAGTCTAAGAGATGACGCATACCACGGAGCGACAGTTTTCGGACAACTGTGATCAATCAAGCTTCCCGGGTGACGTCAGCAAAGGGCGTACGTGTCACAGCTTCTGGACTACAAACCATAGGCCGATTGTACCAACCGATGAGAAACCATGCGGATTCGACAGAAGCTGAACAACACCAGAAATAGTAGCACGCGATTGGCACAGGCTTGGATGACCAATGAACTTGTTTTGTACATATTATTTATTCCCCCTGATTTCTTTCAATAAACGAACTGCTCCGCCTGTGGCCTTTTCCTGGTATCTCGGTTACGTGGGATACTGTCGTGCTAGTACCAGTGTGGTCCAGTGCTTACGTGGCGTCCGTGATTTGTATTTCGTGATCAATTTATACTACAATTATTACAAAATATTGTTCATCACAAATTATGACGTGCTTTAACGTGATGCTGAAAACTAGTGATTACCAATTCCAACACATTCCGTTTAAGTGACCGAAAAGAACGACTGTTAAGTCACATCTGTCGGTGTGGAGTAAACAACTTAAACCTGATCTCGAACTTTAAAAGCGTCGTTCGACATGTTCATGAGTCCCGCACGTGATATATGCATAGCGTTGTGTGATGATGCAAGCGTGCAACTTACCTTTCTCGTATTTTCGGCCACAGATACGTTGACGACAGACGCAAAGGAGTACAATGCCAACTATAATGAGAATGCCCACAGCCACAGCCGCACCGATGATAAACTGTAGTGGTATATCTTCTGAAAACAGAAAAGAGAGAACGGATAATAAGGATGGAATTAAGTTCTTCAGTTGGGATTAAGGTACAGAAAATGGCTCGAGGAATTGATGTTCATTTTATTAGGAGCAAATTTGGCTTACAAGATTTCCGTAAAATTTATTCTGAAGTCAAATTTTCTCTTATTGCTTTGCTGACTGGTAGATGACTATTTTCTTAGATTTCTTGAGGTAACATTTGATTTCCTTGGAGACATTCAACCAGCAGACAAACGAGAACATAATAATCTCAATACACTTGCATATATTGATTTGCTTTTGGTCAATCCTTCATGCTAGCAGAACAACTGTTTACTATTGGCTCAAATAGACTAAATAATCGCACCTGGAACAGGTAGCGAAGTATGATGCATCAGTGGCATTGTTCTGTCTTCAGGGTGTGGATTAATCTACGCTATGAGCAGCTCTCGGCGTCATATTGATCAGCCAGACGGATGATTAATTTAATCAACAAAACCACAGGCCAGTCGGCACATTCCTGTGACAGATAAGCCAAGAGTAACCGTTCAGAGGGACGGTTCGACATTTGTATTGTTTTTGAAAGGTTGGCAGGGCAACAGGCGAATCAAAGCGGATTCCTAAATATAACCGGATACAGATAGTGGGGAGTTTGCATTCCCACTCACGTTAATCCACAGGTTGCCAGGTGATGCGAAGGAGGATAGGTTCAATGCAAGGATGTTGGTAACTTGCCATTCCGTTTGAGTGTGAGTCGCGTTTATGTCTGACTGGACCTTTTGGTTCATAGTGTCTGCATTTTCCTCTTTTACAGATTATCAGTTCGTCCTCTCCACGGAGAACCTCGTATATTTCGACGGTCCCAGCCTACTTGCGGTTGTCTGGTGCATTCGTTCACTGAAGACATTGTGCCTCACACACGATCCGAGCCTCCCAAATTACCAATACGGTTACCCTACCATATACAACCAAACTGCTCCGACTTCCATCAGAATAAGGTTATCATAGTTTCTATCATCCAGGGTAATACCTCTAACTAAATATTTTATCAGGAGAGTCTGCTAAATTTACCAGGTACGCTATAAAGCTGGAATGGGTGGAGTTGCCCAGAATTGTATTTCCCAATCGGTGAACTATGAATAGACTGAACGATACTGAGCAGTGAATTTACAATATTTCGAATAAGCTACTGTACAAACCAATAAGTAGTCAAACTCTATAAGGCAAAGTTGAGTCATAGTCAATAACCCACGTGTGCAATCAAAGGAAAAGACGAATGTTGTGCATGAGCAGATATTAGTCTTTTATCCCTCTTAGGTAAACCTGTCAGAAGTGAAAGTCAGAGGATTGTTTGATGGATTCTGTCAAATCCCACACGCAAATCTAAGCAGTTAAGCAAAGTCCCTAATAGGACCCACCTGCTCTGCAATAGGTTCCTGCATGTGCACCCCCGTGCATGTGTGCATGTGCGTTACCTCAACGTAACAAACTGTAAAGTAGAGCTTACTTGATGAATCTGTGTGACATAAAGCAGGATACTCTTCAACCTACGGTGTCGGGTGAATGAAGCATTGAACTGGGTAACGAACGGAAAATACGCATCACCTGGGTAGTGAACCGTGAAATTGTGCAATTGCCCTCAGGCCTCCCACGAAGTTCGAGATGCGATGTGATATGCAAAAGACAGAGTAGCCCTAGACTGAGTGATTCACACCAAGCGATCGAGCGCGTGTATGGGCCTATGCTTCCGCGATAAGGATAGACCAAAATGACTGACTGACTAAATTACCCGTCCGTTGGTTGGAAAACCGAATGCGGGACGGTGTGTATTTGCCTGCCTAAATGCGGAATTGAATAGGCGGATGGAGGGGGAAGGGGATAGTGAGTAATTAGGCAGGTGAATTCCGACAAACCTGTCAACAGTGTGGCATTTTCGATTGACCTCATCAAAATCATAAGATCCACTCGGGTGGAACTTCGAAATCGCAGAAGCGATGCGTAGAAAACAACAACAATAACAACAATAGTAAAAACAACAACAGTACGACGAAATAAAAATAAACCCTGTTGATAGAAGTTGTGCACTGTCCGCAATGTGGTCGATTGCTATATTTCGAATTTCATCCCGATTATGAACTCATTCCGGATCAGCTATGGTCGTGTGTGAACAACTGAAAGCTTGATTCAAAATACGATGGAGTATATGGGTATTTTAATATCAGAATAAATTTTCGGTGTGCTGTAAATTTGTTAACTTTTTCTAATTGTAGTAGTTTCTGTTTTTCTAATTCCCAAACAAAATATCATTGATGATTTTTCCTTGATAATAAACTGACAGCCTGTGGAAAAGTGAGGCTTTTCGGCATTCAGTCCATCAAGTAAGCCTTTCTAATTTTCTGTCTTAAAAGGCATTGCCTTGGCACTTGAGTTTGTTGAAATGCTTCACTACGGAAACGGTTCTGTGGATCATACAATGCGACACATGATCGTTGGACTTCATTTATATTATCAGGTGTCTCATCCCCCAATAAAAAGACAACTGATTGAGAAAGGAAACTCTGTATCAACAAAACATAATCACGCTAGTCTAGCTAACCATTTGTGTAACCTGCGCTCAGTTTGAAACGGAACTTCTAAACCTTTTACACTTATGTACTCTTTTTATTCTAAAATCCCCTTCTATAGTTACAATTTTTCTTAGACAGCGGGCACAGTGGGCACACCAAGTATTTCGGGACGATAAGTGTCACCTGAACCAGGTCGGACCGTCGGCCAAGCTATTTAACATTTGGTGTATTTTCTGACCGCAATACATCATCCAATATTCTGCTCCAGAATGTCGCGAAGGATCACAGATTGTTTTACTGTGTGTTAAAAAATACTGCTCATATGAAGCCTAAGTAGTACTTCATTACACCTGTGTGATTTTCAAATGATTGTGAACAAATTTCGGTGGAAACGTGTGTTGTTCAATGCGTAATGCATTTGAATATGGAGTTGAAGACTGAGAATACGAAGTTGAAGGACAAACGAAACCAGAATGCAGGACTGGGTGGATGTTTAAAGGTATTACCCCCAGTCACCCTCCAAATTGTTGTGCTTACAAATACACTCAAGCATATGCACTGTTCGCTGCAGTTTTGTGAGCGGTGCAGAGCTAATTGAAAAACAGGAAATAGGTTGCAAACAAACTTTAGAAATGAATCACAAGGTTGTCCTAACCGACAGTAATTGAAAAGCACGAAGTTCCGAACCCTCTATTGTTGGAAAAAAGTGATACAACTGATCTCCAGTTATCCTTGTTTCAACTGACCTTGGTGCACCAATTCGATCAGTTTCCAGTCCGAACCGTATCCATTCTGAACTGTGCAATTGTATTTCCCATAGTCGGTCATCATGACATGGGCAATGTGCAAAATAAGAACCACACCGCCGATAAATTCTTCACGTTCGAACGTGTGTCTGTAGAGTGGATATTTATTTTTATGATAAAGAGGGATAAATTAGTGAACAAATGAAGGCAAGAAATGCTTGACGAAGAAAATAGTTGTCCCAAGTCAGCACAACATATGCCAAAAAATAACAGGCACAAGATCACTAAAATTTATTTTACAAATGAAGTAATTTCCAACAGTGTAGACAGACCTTATATTTCATGTTACACTGAACTAACCTCTGGCGTATTATGAGTTTATACGCTGAATAAAGAATAACGAAGTTGATTAAACTCGTGCAACACCCGAACTTTCATCATATTTTTTCTTCCTAACGTTTGGCATTTGGAGTCTAATTGACGGTATAAAATATGATATTCACCCACATCAGACGCAGCATATGTGTACTAATATCCACTTATGTATTTACTTCTATTAGTCGAATGCCAATAAAATGTGCCGTTTCTCTATTCAGACGACAATTGATGGTGCATCAGTTATAAAATAAAAAGCCTCAGTAAAAAACGTCACTGAACTTTATTTACAAAAATGACTCAGGTATTGTACTTTCATTTAGTCAATGTTCTGTTTGCCATCCATTAATTTTGGGCTCTACAGTCAGTTAATTTTTCATAGTATCCTCCAAGTTGACTGTCAAGCAACGTTTTCCCAGTCATCTCCAACACGTGTCTCATCCAGGCTCCTGACGATCATTGTCCAGGTAGTTTACTTACCCCTGTTTCTAACACGGGAACCCGCACTGCTGCTGGGGGCGATGATAATTAAATGAATGAATTGATGAAACAACAAGAATTTATTAGACAGAACTAGCTTCAATGCCGCTTTACATAAAATGTTTTTTTGATTCCGAGCTGCAATTTTTGATTTACTAAAACTTTTATCACATGCAAATTCAAACATCGATACAAGAGAACTAAGAACATTGCGTTGGGAGATAAAATTGGGAGTGAGTAATCTCCATCTAAAACTATCGATATATATGCATGATATCAGAATCTGAAATGTATTTCCAATAAGAGATACGTATACGTGTAGCACAAGGTCGATCAATACTTGCATATGATTCGTGAGTCGGGGTTAGTGTCCGCTTTGATCAATATCTGTGGCGTACATATTTTCGGGGACTGGTGTTCAGACCTCAAAAGTCACGATCCCATTCTTCAGTGGCTAGGTTTACCGAATAGCGCAACAATATTGATAAGAATTTAAAAACCCCATCCCTCGTGTTTACAACATCAACATTACCAATAACGGTAGAATCTGTAAATACGCCAATAAAGAATATCGGGGGCAGATGCAGATATTACAAACATTATTTTTGATTGAGGATCATACGACTATGTGTAGCGGTTTGTATAAGTATATGAAAGAAAATTTCAGGTTACACTTGAAGCCTTTTCAGTCTACATGTAACTGTTTAGTACAAACGTTTATTTTGTGCCTCAAGTTCAATGGGATGCGGGACCGCGCAACCAAAGCCTCCAGTAAAACCTTTCTTTTGGCCTGTGGTTTCAGTGACAAAAGCAGTTCAACTATTTTTACTTGACGGATTCACTTGGCTTTCCCAATATTTGAACAGATCAAAGGGTAGTTCTAGTTGATTGGGTGGTTATCAATATTGTTCCGTTTTTGTATCGATATCTCATTCTGAAGCTTAATGGTGATTGGATAACCACTGGAAGGCGTACAGAGTGTATCTCTTGAACGGTTGTACTAAACTTTGTCAACTAGTTTGCATTCTGGAATTTATTGATCACTTTGCTCACTCTGCGTGCTCTATCCATGAATAAAAATGAATTCGCGTTGAAAAATGAAGATTTTGTGACCCGAAATCATGCTGCATTGTCTGGAGGTCAACCAGTCAACTGTACATATAATGCAATTAAAATTACGATATCAGTTGAATGTTTTACCATACTAAAATTTTGTATTTACGCTAAATTTGAAATACTTGGTATTGTTCCATAATTCAGTCACGGATCAGGATATAATTGGGCAGCATTTTGCTTCATAAAACTCTTTGATCGGGTTAGCACAGACAGGTTATATTACGGTGTAAATTTCTGATGCGTGGAATCAATCCCACGACCATGTGCTTAATCACCGTAGCATTGCCCATAATCGGAAGGATAAGGGGCTGGTGGAAGAACGTACTGTGAATCCGGTCGAATTGGTCGACCGTTATAGAACCAGTGTGTTTGACCAATCGGTGGCAGTGGGACGGAATTTACTGTACACCGTAGTCGAGCTGCCCGTCCGAGTCGAGCCGGTACAATCGGATTGGGCTGGATGGTTGGAGGACCTGAAGTTTTTTTGAAGGAACGGGACAAAAAGATTTATATAAATCAAGGCAGACGAGCAACGTGAGTAAGTACAGTAGACGGGTATTGTTTTTCAGGAGGTAGACAAGTTTAGTTAGGTCGAAATCAACGATGCGACAGCCCGAAGTTTTGCTACATCCCTGTTTCAGTGTTTAAACCTGTTGGGATTTACTGTCCCGAGGTGGAGGAGAAGTATCTGATGAACGATGAAGATGATAGAAAATACATGTAGCTCTCGAATAACCCCTTGGCAAGAATGTCTTCAGTCTCGGTGGGATTGGAACCCATGCCTGGAGGTGACGTATGCTACTGTACGGCGTACGCTTGACCAGCTGGACTCTCACGTAACCCCTCGCCTTAACTAACTGGCGGAAAAGTCCACGCAATCGGAGAGAGTGATTGGGCTGAGGTGCACTGCTAAGGATATAAGCAATTGATTAACCTTCTTTCCTAAGGCTATACCCAATATGGGAAAGTAGAACATGCAGAGTGCCTTACCATCTATAATTATTATTTATGGTAATCAGGGGTTTGCCTCGAGTTTCTGTGATAAAAGCAGTACTGGTCAACAGTTCTTCTCAACTCCTATCCTCTATATTCAACTTTTAAGACTGTCAACTCTAGGATTGGTTGGCTTGAAATCAAACCAATCTCTCTCTTAGGGTTCACTGTCGTGAGACACAGAAGTTGGGGTTGTAGTTTTAATTAACCATTTGTATGTGAAAACTCTGATTTGTGACAAAACGGTCGGAGAGGTATTGAGTTGGGTACGTTACGTTGATGGTTCCTCATCATGTCTTAGATTCCACATGAACTTAGTGGAGCTCTTGTTCTATTTTGTATGTTCACATACATACCATTTGACCTGTGTTGTCTTATTTCTGCTCAGTTGTTCCCCCACGAATTCCATGCCGTACCGGTACAAGTTTATTCGACATACAGTGCACAGTGGTTGTTGACTTAATTAGAGCAAAATTATATATGTATGAGTTAAATAAATAGAAATATTCACAACATCCTTTGGGACTGACTAAAGACTTGAGCAATTAATAAGATAAGCACCCACGGGCCTGTCAACAAACTCCAGGGTTGAAACAAAAGTTAAAGAGCCTCCCCGTACAGTCCATATTTGTTGAAGAAAAAAACAATCTTCAATCTAGTCAAACCGTTTCGCTTCAGCAAAACGGCGGCGCAATTACTACAGTCGCACGCAATTTGGCCCAAAGCCAGATGACAGGGCGGGAGCTATTCCTCAATGTTGTCCCTTTATTAGGAAAAGCAACCAACGGACAGGACAGGGAAATGGTGAGATAGAATAGTTAAAGGGACATTCTTTTGGGTCGAAACAGCAAAACTTTGCTCTCCGTGAGAAAAACATGGCATATCACCATTACTCATGAACCTGTGATGTCTGCAAAGTTTCTGAGTGGCGGTACAGGCGGAATGCTAAAAGCCAGGATAATCTGTGCTCCGGAATTTCACTCCGAAGACTATCTACTAGCACCAATGTTCTACCTGCAGATCAATTGTACAAGAAGACGGTGCTGTAAAAACGAACATCAACAACAACTTAGTGGTTTAAATATGATTATTTATTCTACAATACCATGAGCACATACATCGGAACACAAACATTCGAATAATTATCTTCATTGGATTAATTTAGATTAGATTATTAGTCGATTTTGTGTCATTAGTTCAATCTGTCTTAGTTTGAAAACTCCCGGATGATTTTTTAATGAAATATGTAATATTAACTAATGTCGCAATAGTTTCTTCGAAAACTTACGTCGTTTCGCGATGTACATCTGTTTTGAGATGGGAGGAAAATCTTGCACATGTGCTGTGCAGATATAGGTGCCGAAATCTTCTTCGCGCAAATTGTCCTTCCGATAGGTGACACCACGATGTAGCACTTCGTGTCCACTTTCACGACGCCAATCAATTCTTGGCTCCGGATTTCCTCGAGCCGGACAAGACATCGCCACATCTTCACCGGGCGAAGCGGTGAACAGAAGAGCTGATGGTTCTTGAAATTGTGGACCGACTAAAACAACGGAAACAGCGAAAAAAGGCGCTAAATTTTATGGACAAAATCATGCATATTGATTAATTTCTTCTCTGGTGCCAGAGTTTTGATGTTTCGAACCACAAAACTTCTGGTAAGCGTTTAAATATACAAAACAAACTACAATGCGATCGTTTGACAAGTATACTACATGATTCCTAATCAAATTTTGGTGTATTTTCTAGTAAATGTTGTAATAAACAGGTGATTTAGGATGTTGCTGGTTTATTCCGTCTTATGTTCACAAACACAAGGTATGTGTGTCGCTGTACCTGTGTGTATGTGCTCTTTTCATCACGCAATTGTTTCTCTAGTCCGTTTGGGAACCTTATTTGTGAAGCATCTGCTGTACATTTCAGGCAAAAGGGTTTCTGAAGATGCGTGGTTCGAACCACGGGAGGAGTGAAAAATTAGGGTTATTGGGTGAAGTAACTTTTCGGTGCTCTGTGTTGCTCCCCAAACACCATAGCCACAACCGGTTTTTATTATACCCACAATTTACAGGAAAAGGGGTGAACCGCATAATCACTGACAAACTGCAAGAGGTAAGGAATGTGGGGAACATTCAGGTGCGAGCTAATGTGTTAGTCCTGCTTTTGAAAAACCCAAGATAATAATATATGTTTGGAAATACGGAAGTGAGAAGAATGCTCTACAGTTTCCCAGTCCTGCGGAAAAAGGGGACTGGAAGGTAGAAGTCCGACATTTGGGAACAGAAATTTGATAAGGATGACTGCTCACTTGAGAACGAATTGGACGAGAAAATGAAAAGTGAACGGGAACCACAAAAGCAAGTTCGAAAGAGCAGGAATAAAAATAGTAACGATAGAAAAAATATAACGAACCACTTGTAGATTGAAAGTTTAAGACGGTTAGTCGATCAGACGGATGTCGTTGTGTTGAACACGATCGAGATGAGAAAGAGCAGAATACGAAGCTTCACCCTATAACCGACTGCATTTTTGAGACTTAAGTGGATTTGTGCTTTGTATAAAAATGTAAATACCTTGCTCTACTGGTTGCTCGATTAGCAAAACACCAGCGATATAGTGCTTGTCAATCCATGGGCTCTAACAGGACTCCCGGCTATTTTTGATCTCTCTTCCGTCAAACAAGAACTAAACGTTACATTCTGTCTACCTTTAGTTCAATAAATGAATTTAAAGTAATGTGAGCATGTACAGATCAGAAGATCTCACCACTAGGTTATAGAGAGCAAGTGCCATGAGTGATCAAACCACATGTCCTACACGCTTCGAGTTTTATTGTTGGAACAACTCAGTTTGCTGTTACTGGTCGGTGTTCCGAAGTGCAAACTCTGTTGAAAATATTCCATTTTGGCTGCAAACAGCTCCACTATATTTCTGCTCGATAAAAACTTTATCCATGGAGTGCATTTATGCTTTTGGTTGATTACTGTGTATTATTGTCCATTTGGTGTTGACCGGAATTAAGAACCTTTCTTTTTTCCTCTCCATCACTTGGTTGATTACGATCTTGATTTTCGTCATATAAAATTTTGAGAATGTCTAAGGATAACAAAAATGTTTTATCAATTAGCATCATTGAGTATTATAATCTGCTAGTCCGGTCTGTTTATGTGAATTCAGTACCATGCTTCTGGTCTGACATTATGCGATCTTGAAACGTACCTCGATCAACTGATTCAGCATTCACATCTAAGAAAACAACTACGATGAAACCGTCACCATGGTGAGCGATGAAGTGTTTGCAATCCAGCTGCCGGATTAGTTGAGATAAATTAAAACCAATTCAGCATCATGACTAATTTAAACTGCTTCCCCGGGAGTTAACTGTTAACAGTAACAGCTGCTAGAGGTTTTCGTTTCCCCTCGCCTTGGGTCCCTTTGTGGATTGTCACATGCATTTTTCCGGTGGGATTTAGATCAATGTGACTAGTGTAAAGCCATCTGTTTTTTTCTAACTTGGTTCATGATGAAGTGTTAGTCTGCTTGCTAGTCTGCGCCAGTATACCAGCAGCACCGTATATGATGTAACCCAGTTTCTGTTCCATTTTTTACCATATTTCAACGATCTATTACGCACAATATTGTAACAAATAAATTAATCTGTTTTTTATCCTGTACAACTTTTATCGTTCTCGATAATCTCCCTATTCTCTTGGATTCCTCAAACAATTACATCTTGATAGATTATGTTTTGTACAAAAAAATCATGTTGAATCTAGCCCCTGTTTCATTGCCGCATGTAATGATAAACCTGGGTACGGAGGGTTCTCTGTCTTCTTACTCAATTAAATATTATCCAAGTTGCTTTAGTCACGCAGTTTATCCGTGTTACATGAATAATTGAAATGTTGCCTGTGTGACAAATAGCCTAAACAAAGTTTGCTGATTCAGGGTAACCATTGGTATAATTAGCTTTCCATTTGCTTTCGAAAGTATCATTTTAGACCGTTCTTGTGATGAATGATAACGATCTTTATGTTGGTATGATAGAACAAATACTGTTCGGAGCGGGTTGTTTTTAAATCATATTCACAGGTAAGTGAAAATTATTTTCCATGATTACAAATCAGTTTTAAGATATTACATGCAACAAACATGTTCCGATGTTTGAACCATTGGCTATTTGGATAATCATTTGTTTTGGGAGGGGAGTGGGGAAGTTGAGACGGTCATTCGACGACTGTTTGACCAAACATCAGGAGGATAAACTGACGACGCTGACGTTATTAGTATTTGTTTACTCATTTAGCTAGCTCTAAGTAGCAAATTATATCGACTGCACGGCTAGGCGCCCATCTGACAGTACTGAAAAAGACCACTCAAAAGGGTACCTCACACAGCTCCATCTCAGAACCCCTGGCTACAGGCTGACATGGGATCGACCCTGAACAAATGTTTGAGAGATGAGCGAGGCGCGATACCTACAACAAACTCGCAAAGATGGATTGTGTAAATGAAAAATGGAAAACGGTTTGATCAGCCTCCCGGTCGCCGAGTAGGTAGCATGCTTGTGTTATGCTTGGGTTCGAACCCAGTTGGGTTGATGGATTCATACTGCAGCTGAGACCTAACCAAATCAAAACAGCTGTATAGCGATACCTAGCTTTTCCGTTCACACTTCATTTACTCTATATACGATGAATCTTCTCCATGAAATTGAATCAAATCTTACTATGCCCTCATGCAACTTGTGACTTATGTGATTTGTGTGAGCTAGTACATAGTTCATTGGAAAAAGTTGTTCGCCCTTGTTTGTGCGCTCTCATGTCATAATAAGCATATCCTGGAATCGACAGCTTTATTTGCAGAAGTTTTCTGGCGTATATTTTGACAAGTTGATTTATCTCTATTATTTACAATACTACTATTCTTACTGCTACTATTATCATTACTAGCGATCCTACTGCTACTGCCATCACCATCATCACCAAAAATAAATAGCTGAATATACGAAAGAAAGATGGATCATATGATAAGGATGAAGCTTCTCTGGAACACGGCCAAAGTCCATGCGAAATGTTGTATTTAAATCACTGTGATGCGGACTTGATGATCTGGTTTTGCTTCCATTTTTTTCTAGTTGACCACAGGTGTGGCTTCACACACAATGGTTTATTAGATTGTTATTTGTTTGAAATATACATGCTTCGATCGAAACAGAATATGACTCTCCTCACATCGCCTTACGTCCGCACAGTTCTGCTATGCAAAAAAATGTTGCTCTCATCATTTTCCACCACTGCAATTCCATGATAGAATAGGATAACTTTTTGTTTAGAGTGATGCGAGCGTATCTAACTTAGGGAGATACGGATGCTACAGTAAAGACACATACAGGACGACTTCAGATTTGTTTACTTGTCCTGAGATAAGAAGATTTGGCGATCAGACCTGTGAACACTGGGGGAAACTCGAACTGATCTTCGATTCTATCCCGATTGTGTTTATTGCGGCAATTGTCGTAATAGAAGAATGGTGAAAAATTCATGAATTGAAAGCTACTGATTTTGTTGATGATTACCCGCCCAAGCGGTTTCATCTTTAACTTCGGGTTTCTTCCATCTTTTGGGATTGTTAGTAGTTATTTGAGGCATGAGAAATGATTATCATTCGTTGCAAAACGGTTACTGCCATCAATACTTTTATATATATATATATATCAGGAGTTGCATATCGGGGTACCCTGCAGATTACCTTAGTGTGATGCAGGAATGCACTGTACAGTAAATTCAAAAATGCTCAGTTATGAAAAGTGCTGCATCACCATTGCGACGTAAGGGACTATTTGGAAGAAATTCCCTTGAATAGTGTTGAGTATGCTCTGAGCTCGCCAAATTGTATTCTCATAAACTTCCGTTTGTGGGGCCACCTCAAGCACAATATCCATGGAACAAGACCAGCTATGAACGCTGTAAACACTTGTGACTGATGAGCGTTTCTCGTTGTTTCTTCCGTGCCGCTTTGATTATGCAATAGCTGAGTACGAACCTTCCTGGTGACCAAAGCGCTCCCTTGGCTTAACTCGACTTACCAAAACGGGTCACAAAGGTCAACAATTTGTCATGTTATTCAACAATCAAACGCTTCCGTATCGTGGGTAGTCACAAATTCAATTGATTTACTTAGACGGTAACTAATCAGAAAAGCATTATGACCCTGTGATAGCACGTCTCCAGAAGGTGCAGATAGGTGACCGAGAAGTAGATCAAAATATTTTGAGCATAACACATGGCAACTTCATGATAGTTCTATGGGATGAGAAAACGTGAACACATATAAATGATAAACCGTACAAAAGGAACTTTTGACTGAATTTTCTCACCAGGTTGCCAACTCACTGCGTTTCTAAGCCAGTGGATCAAAAGAAACAGACAAAACCGGACTGAACACGACCTTTGGTGGTGTGAAATGCGTCTTTTGGTTATCGGTGACATTTGTTCCTATTTGTTCAACTTGGCGATAGAAAAACACCCTGGCCAGAACAGTATCTAACAAAAATTGTCCACCCATAAATATGTTACTACAACAATTTATCTTTACCGGTTGGAGTGAAAAGTTTTGCTTTATAAACGCTTAGAAAATGCTAAGATGCGATGAGAGGGTCCGAGAACGGACTACAGACTACTACATAAAGAGATTGTATGTTGGGCGATTCCCGGGCGTAGCCTTCTACCAGCTGAGCTAACTGCTCTGCCTAGCGTGTTGATTTAATTGCCCCGTGGTGGGTTGAGACCGTGTACAAGATCAATACGGTTCCAGTGGATGTTTTGGGGGTCTACAGTGATGAGTTGGATGCTAACTCCGGATAACAAACTCAACTTCCGAAGAAAAAAAATGTTACATGAGTTAGGATACATAAAGAATGAAGGACGAATAGTTAGTGACAAGGATCGTACCGATAGTACAATATGCTGAAAGGCTCTAACTAGCACAAAAGGCATTCAAACTGTGGAACTGTGATCCTCGAAAGTGATGTGGTTTGGTCGACCCGACTTAACATACTGGTTGATTCAAGCTCTGTAGACGACACGTCGATGACACGCTCACATTTATGATAAGTTTTTCATGGTATGGGCCGGTTCTATGTTGCAGATAACGCGTCAGTGCAACAAGATCATTTGTACGTTAGTCTGGGAAATTGAATCAAACTTGCGGTCGAGTGAGGATAAAGTTGGACAAATTCCTGAGATCCACCATAGTAGAACTTTCATATGATCTAGTAGCAAGCAACTTAAATTACCAATTTCGAGCGACCGAAATGACTAATTCTTTTCTTTTATTCATCAGTAACCCCCGGTAGTGTTTAACAAACGTGTCATACCTTTAGTATAATTTGTGCTTATAAAGAAGTTGGTATAAAAACATTTAGATAGTTTACTCATTATTACCCTTGGGAAAAGTGATAAAAATATTCTTGTCAACTTTGCCAAATATTTCTCAGAATGCGGGATTACATTTTTCCAGGCAGCAAAACACCCCTTCCGGGACTAATTGAGTGACGAAAGAAAAACGTTAAACAATTAGATAAACACAGCTCACGAACTTCGGGTTTTGTCAACCAAAAAATCATTCCATCTAGTAGTTTATGAGAAAATTTCGTTTCAAACAAACAATCTGTTTTGTTCCTCCGACTGTGTTCACATTAGCGCTGTACCCCATCCTACCCTCAACATCTATGGCACAAGAATCTGTTTACCCCTTGTACCGGAAGGACTTAGTGCTTCGGGAGACGAAAAAGAATCAAAAGAACTACCTGTATGAGTGGAAAGAAGGAAATTGGGAAAGCAATTATAATACTTGTTAGTAAGCGATCAGCATTGTGCACAAAACGGGTGTTTTATTCATGTATTTTGCAAGTACGGCTACTACTAATCTTATATTTTACACACCTAGGGATTAGGGAACAACCTATGTAAACTTGTACCTGTTTGTTAACGCATTTGTGCATTATAAATTTTACTGTAGTTATTACATTTTCCAATGTTGAACGTTGATCACAGTTCCACTCTACAGAGGAAGTGGTATAGGTCTGAGTGGTTTCTCATCGTTTCTACGGCATGAAGGTCACGTGCTTTCGTCTCTCATTGGTTAGTTATCTATTTATCCCAGATTCAAGGGATAATGGAACGATGAGATTTTTAAAGATTTTATGCACATTTTCCAGATCACGACTTATGTATGTGAATGACTATAATATTAATTATACGATATCGAAAGGTTTAATAACGGAAAATGTCACTGATCTCATGTTTGACTTGTGGAAAGATTTGCAGCCTAGACGAGATTCGAACCCACACATGTACACCACCTATGATGTTTTACAGATCATGCTCGATACGCTGATAATAAAGTAACCGAGTATTGAAATCAGTGATTTATTATGCACTTTCGAGTGCAGATAGTGTCGCAGTGGTGGCGGAGTGGTAAGGCCACCAAATTATAGCTCCGGATGACCTGTTCCAATCCTTCCACCACCGCCTGACTGCCACACCCCGTATGTTGTATCGAAGCCCTCTGATTGACCGCTTCATCCTTCTTGAAAATTGTGTCATTAAGTATTCAATAAAACAAAGTAAAATTAAAGATGAACAAGTGAGTCCAAAGCGATCTTAATTGTTCCAATGGATGATTGATCTCATTGTGGTTCGATTGTTGGTGTGAAATCCATGATTGTAGCTGGTTTCGTGATTTTAACCCTGAGTATGTGCTTCATCAAAATGAAATCTGATGAGCATCTGGATATTTGGTGTTTTCAACTCATCGCATTCATCTGTTCATACAAATTTTGTCTGGGTGGACTGCATGGTAGTGTAAAGGTGCTCCATTGTGCTGGGAGCATTATATTTAACATCTAAGCATTTGTTGAATGTTAAGCCTGCATAATTCTGACAGATTGTTGTAATACTGTGCGTCAGGGTGTAATTTCTGGATATTCCGTATTGTAGGAGCTTTCAATATTGATATCACTCAAACACAATGGTGGGCAACAAATAGCCGTGATTATTTTATGATCAAGTGCAAATTAGAAAAAGACGGAAGATTAACCCTCAATGGATACTGTTTTAGTTGATTTCAAACTCAAAAAGCACAACTAAATGAGTGACTACATGTCCAAGGAACATAATTACAGAGACACGTCGTCTTGTTTAAAATTCGAACTTATCACCTTTCTGAGGATAACCGGGAGAAGATGACTGAAATTTTCCCAGGTTATCATGTGACAGATAGTTAATGCGAACTCTGTCGAAACGAGAGTGATGATAACAGTTTTTGGACAAAAGTATTCGACAGGTTGAATGTGAATAAGCACATTTCGGACGAAACTTTTCCTATTATTGTTGAAAATTAACAACTAATTAAAAATGGTAGTAGTTACTAGAATTTTTTATTATCAATGCAAAATCTAACGTGATACTAGCACTGTGCTTTATGCAACTTAAAACGAACATCTGCATGCATCGAGTGATTTGAATTAACTTTGTATTCTGACAACTGTATCTTCTACATAAAACCTGTGGTGCGAATTCGGCCTACAACGCTCTTGACGAATTCATAAATTCTTCCAATCGCAATCTATTATTTTGTATTTGGCTCTCAAGAACCATTTCAAGCTTCTGTCACATAGCCTCTTGAATAGGAGTATTTGTCGTATTTCGTCGGTACCCTATTTATTTATCACCCTGACAAACAAGAACCGGGTCCCACGTGAAACTCCACATAAAGTGAGGTGGGTCTCTTTTTGATCTCACTTGTTATTGTCGTACATGAAACTGTCGTCACCCCTTCCTCCCTCCCCTCCAACTCCAAAATAATAGTGACAATTTTTGCCGGATTTTTACGAATAGATGTATGCACATGGCGTTACACCACAGCTCAATTAGAACATATTCTGTGCCACGTAACATACTTACAGAGGCATTCTTCTAAAACCATTTTCTGCACCGATTTTCGGAATAGCCAGCAAACAGAACTGAACCAAATCCGAGATTCCCGTAACTGTTCATTTGTCGTTTGATAGACTGAACCGGGGAAAAAATAGCAACTGCTGCCATCTTTTTTTCGGCGTTCCAGGTACTCTAATGACCTAAGCAAAATTTGCCTTGGGTGTTTTTACCGATTCTGCATGTTTCATGCTCATTATAGTAAAATATATAATTTGTACCTTGTCTGCTTTCAGTTTAAGATGATTCACGTTTTGTAGAAGATGCATTGTTACCTTTTGTAGTTTAGATATGCAAGTTGAATAGCTGCGAACTTTAGTTTGGTAGCAAAAGTAACTCGATTAATAAGTGAGTCGAGCAATTTGGATCTCAGTGGTCAAGGAGAAATTAGTGAAACGATCATATTCACGTTGTTATTCCAGTAAAGAACAGCTCGTTGAAACCGAGTATCACCAATTCAACGAATAAACATTTTTCTTACAATAAAACAAGAATGCTAGATAAACCACGAAGCAAAGTAATAACTATAAATGAGAGATGTTAGTTTATTAAACGTTTAGCTCAGCAGTCTTCACGTCTGGCCAATAAATATATGTGGCTAGATAAGAAACAACAGAAAGTCGATAGACTGTTTAGACTGCATTGTGAACAGGGGTTAATCAAAACAATTGGAAGAAAAAAGGAAACTAAATGAAACCTATTTCTTAACTAACATGAGCATCGTTTACTGTCGAGTTGGTAACGTTTCTGGTAGAATTCATGAAGAAGAACAAAGAACCAAGTCAAAAAGTTTGAAAAAATAAACGAATTTCAGGCTACCAGAGTTTCATCAGCATTGCACATCTAGCCTTCCAAAATGGGAACCGCGGTTAAATAAAAATCTAAGCGCCATGCATCTAAGGAATGCTCTGAATTTCATCATCATCATTGTACAGTGGAACACAGGGAAGCGAACTTCACTGATCGCTGCCAAACTCGCAAAGCACATGGATTGGGGTTTGATGGACGGGTGCTGCTAGGGTGTCCAGGCACTAAATAGGAGAATGATTAGGGTTCTCGACCAAAGCCTTTAGTTCTGTCAAGAACCTAGTCGCAAGGCAGCGGGTGAGGCGAAGTCAAGGCTCATTTACGTGTATCAATTGTTCATCTACCATTTTTTCCCGACTGAGGCACAAATTTCAGTCGAACACCAAACCTGAAGGACCAGGAGACTGAACTTTGTCTGACCTCTACCCATTGACATTTCAGGCATGATTAGATCTTCGGCTTGACAAAAACCATCCTGTGTAGCTCGTTGGGTCAGGGAGATACACAAGCCATCAAACCACGTCACGGTGTAGTCTTGTCGTGATGGTTTACACGTCATTAAATGCACCCCGTCTTTCCAAGTTATAAACCTCACTGAGCTAACTGACCGCCTACTTTGCTAGATCCGATACCCAGGGGTGCACTGCGTAATCAAAATGGGAAAGGAGCGAGAATCACTACGATATAAACGACGTATCAGAACAAGAACAAAAACTCACATCGGACACGAACAGTGGTCTCTGCATGACCTTTCTTATTTGAGATCGCAATGCATCGGAACACGGCGTTGTGCATATTCCTGGTCAGTCGCAATCGATACCACGGATCGACCAAATTCTCCACTTGTCGACCATTCACAAACCACCTGACCAATGACGTAGTGTGTGTGGTGGAGGAGCAGGGGGTGTTCACGGGTTGGTGGGGTTGGAATCAAGAAGAACGAAAAAGATGTACGTTATTATTGAAATATCTCAAGGATGCTCGTGAGTGATGATTAATTTCATGTAAAGAATAATGAGAATCTAAGTTGAAAAGGTAAATCTGAGTCATGGCAGCTTTCAGGGTAGTGGGCACAGAACACAAAACTCCTATCGGTTATCTGAGTTCAAAATTTACGAAGGTAGTTGCTATGTTATTCCTTTAATAATGACTGATCATCCAGATGTTACCAATAAAGCTGTGCTCAGTCCACTTTTTCAATGTGTGCAATAGCATCTACACATTAAAAGAATCTGTCTATCAAACATGGGGAACAATCATGCTCGTATTTGTAAGCGTGTATTGGCCCTAATATCGGTACGTGATCCAGATGCTGATTGCAGGTGAGCTCGTCTACGCAAACATTTAATCTACCAATAAAAATGAGACAGGAAAACAAAATTACGTGAAATGACATGAGAAATGTTTACCGGAGAAACCTTTTTGTGAATGTTACCATCTGGGGATCATCATCCCACTGAGTGCTTCAGCACACAAATGAAACGAAGACTCTGGGTCAATTGCATATGCAAGAATCTTATCAAAGCTGACAATCAGGACGATTAGACCGAACAGAAGCTAATACACACAAATCAGCATTATCTGTATGAGGTATTATAACAGAAACGGAGGAAAAACGATACGATAAATGTAGGCCAACCACCACCACCAGCAGCAGTAACAGTGATAGGAACGAAAGTTACAATGTGGACAAAATCGGTTTGAAAATGGGTTGCTAACTGCTTCAACAGTAATTCATACTGACAATAAAGCAGCAGAGTGGCAAGTGTTTACTTGCGCTAAAGTCATCGTCAGGCAATCTGACTCATCGCCCCAGTTTCCTAATGACGAGGATAACGCCAATACACTGACTGGAATCCAGCTAGTTGGAACTTAACTGTGCAATTTACAAAATTGCGTGTTAGAAATTATAACCTGTCTTGATCCCCGTCTGAAATACAAGCTACAAGATGTCCGTTCTGCATTAAATGAATCACAGCAACACAGTTTCACAGGAAATTTTCAAATTTTCTCCATTCTTCGTACGCTGTTTTCCTTGTAAACGTCCACACGTTGGAACCATTCTCATCCAGTTCCGTCATCCCTTCGTTTTCTACTTCTTTCCAATCATCTGGGTTCGATGACAGTCACAGTCATAGTCTGCTGGTGGGTGGCCAGTTCGAAACCGTGTCAATAGATCTTATTGACAAGCATTGCGAAGTCGCAGTGACATTGTCATTGACGCTAATCAATCTTAACAGACACACATTCAACGGTTGTGTTGGCTTTTTACCCACTGATTTCGGTGTGTATATGATTTACATTCCATGGGCACACAAAAGTCCGCAGTCTCATCATCATCCTCCACCAAGTAACCGTTAGGGAGAACTGAACTGAGCGAGAACATGCAGTCAAATGAATCGTCGAAAAATGAGTTCTTTGATTTTTGTTGTTAACTCTATCCAACTGTGCACGTGTGCACATACAGGCGTAAAGACATACTCACACGAGGAAAGCAGAGAAAGCTGACAGTGCTTCCCGTCCGCAACCCCCTTTCCCCTCTTTTCTAGGGCAGACCGAAGATGCATGTGCACAGATTTTACTGTGGCCTGGGATAAATGGGGTGCTTGTGGGAGGTTGTTAACGAGAGACCATTTGACAGTCCGGTATACCGTGTCAAGTTGCAGCCTGTCATTTCACTTGGTCTGATCTATTTGTACGTGTGTGGTTGCTTGCATGTTGGTTTATGTGTACAAAGACTCAATTGTTCCTGATCCGCTCATGGGTAAAGTTTGCTACTGAGCAAAAAAGTTATCTGGAGATCAAATCATTCTATAGTACGATCAGAATGGCGACTCCTCCTCTTTACTGTCACCTATATTGTTTCTCTGCTAACAGGACACCACAGCGAACGGATTCGATTTCATTCTCCCGTCGAATGATGATGATGATTCCCTCCAAATGAACTATCTATACATGCCTACATATTATGTCGTTACTTTTGAGTCGTGGTTCATACACAAACATTTAGTACATCTATTGTACCCTGTTTCTCAAATACGCTTACTTTAACCTGTGTATCGATTCCATCTGCGAGCCGTTAATTGTTTTTCGTCATTATCACAACACTGCAACTGCAGATTTGCAGAGAATGACTACTGACCAACGTGAGTGTGCTCAAATCATCTTCTTTCTCCTGTTCATACGTGGTATGTTATTATTATTTTTCTCTTGCATCTGGTGCTAGTTTGTGTGAGCCTCTCGTTTTTGGTGTGACGACCAGTAAGCAATATGAATGAACCCTGTTACGATGAAGATCTATTGTTTGCCCATGGAATCTGGTGACCAAAACTACTGAGACCCCCTTGGGATAGGTGTNGTATTCAGTCAGACGACTATGAAGTTACCTACCATCAACGTTGGATTGTGGTAGTAGGGTTCGAACCCTGAACTATGGAACCAGAGGCATGCTAGAGACTGTGACTAGCAGCATCCGAATACTGACTTATCCTATTCACATTTTGTGTGCATGACGCTGAACAAGATAAGGAACTGAAAGCCAAATGCACGAATAATTCGTTTTCTACTGATTTCTTCATAAATACTAACGGTTCAAAAGGAGAGTTGCTGAATGTATATGTATGTAGCTGTTTTAGGCCATTTTACTCCATTCATTTTGGAGAACCTGTCTTTAATGCCGCATACCAGTTTCCCGGTTCTTGCATCGCGATTTCGCAAATGCATGTGAGTGGTACAGAAATAACTTGGACCATCACAACTGAATGAATGCCAGTGTGGCATTACAAGCCAGAGGCGACTTATCGAAGCATTGCCTAATGGTTGCTTCTACCTTTGGGTTGCAACTCAGAACGTTTGGTGCATAGCTGATTGATCTACATTTCTTTCTATTGAAGCCAAGTCTGACACGTCTCCCTATCATATTTTCGCATACTCGAATCACGTAACCGAGTGCTTATTTCTGCCTCCTTTTTTGTATCATCACATTTTCGTTACCATGGATTAAAATTTTGTTAGATACTGAGAGAGTCTGAGTTGAATAGGTGTTCCCGCACAGATATTGCCCGAATAGTTAGTTCTTGTGACAGGACAGGGTTTGACTGGCAGACATCGTTACAGGCGGACAAACAGGCGAGAAGTTGACTGACGCTTCGGGTCGTAGCAGTGGTAGTAGACTAAAGATTTGCAAGCCTATTCGTCATGTTATACAGGACCAACGCGTTACGAGTGTAACGAATGTGCCGATGACAGTCTATCAGCACGGACAAGTCAAAATATAAGAGGAGAAAAGGAGTAATCTGTATGTGCTTGTGTGCGTGCATGCATGTACACTCGTGCATACGTGTTGTCTCCGGGACAACTAAAACAGGGACGCAAATCTGATTGTCCTGGGAACAGTAATCTATTGGCTTGCACCTCTATATGCAACAGCCCCACTCTCAACCAAGTCCCATACAAGAAAAGTTGTAGCACTACTTCTCTTCAATCGTTTCTCGTGGGTTGGTTTGGTTGACGACATCATAGATACTTGGTCTGCCAGAATATCAGTATTCTAAGTTCACTTAACATCCAGTATCCTATATTCTTCATCCGAAGACAACAGTTGCAGTCAATCAATCAAGCAGTCGGAAAGACAGCTACTCGTCCAAACGTCTAACTGTGATTGATCGAATGAGTGAATGAATGAGTATGAAAAGGAGCCGGTGGGGAAATAAGTAAGTAAATGAGATGCGTAGGAGCAAGTAAGCATACGCGTTATTCAGTTAGTTGATAGACCATAGATGGCATGGTTAGTTTATCTCACTGGGGTCTGAGTGTTCTAATGGGTTCCGTTCTCTGGTAGAGATTTCTAGGGTATAAGCCCTGAAGTGATTTCTATCGCGATAAGTACTTCAGTTACTATATATCCCATGACCTAAACCTCAACAATTCTTATCTTGAATTATATGGGAGAGGGATTCGAATGCAGTGAGTATGGGAAAGAGAAATTGTTATATTTTGAAGACAGGCGTCTAGAGACAACCAACGGATCACATATAAAGAATATTTTGTGAAATCATTGATGAAATAACATTACTTTTGCAAAAGATAATCCTACAAGTTTAGCAAATGACATTTACAATTACGGAGGCACTAACTTCGTAGTTGAGTCGTTTAGACCTGAATGCTACCAACGGAAAGTTTTAAACTACAAAGGAGTTAACTTATCACTCTATTATATTCAAACAGGGAATGTAACGTGTACGTAAAATAATTTTTTTCATCATTTCAGGTAATTTTCGGATGGATGTGGTGGGACGAATATTTGCTAACATTGTGCCTGTCCCTGGAGGTTGAGTATTCGGACCACACTACGTTAACACCACCAATACCGCTCATCTATACTGACTCTGTAAGTGTTTAAACTGGCTTTCATTGACCGTAACCGTATTTCAGCAAATTGACTGTTGGATCGGTAAAAGTAAGTGAAACGTTTGGTTAATATCACCATGACTGAATATTCTTGACAAAAATGCTTTTTTTATTACCCAAATTTATGTGGTAAACAGCAGACGAGGCGAACCCCATGGTCACAAAGACCTGCTGTTCCCTCATGGAAACCGGTAACCTAAGCCCCGGGACTTAGAGTGGCGAACTACATAATGCCCCGATAGATAGGCGTGGTAAAGAACCGGAAGACAGCAAAGCGTCCTACCATCAAAGTTGGGTGACGGTGGTGAGGCTCGAACCTCGAACCAAGGGGCCCAAAGCACACCAGTGACTAAACTACTGCACCACTATCACCCAAAATTTACACTAATAATAACATGAATGGAATTGCTGAGCCTCAAATTTTGAAGTATGGAAGACGATTGCAAATGATTGAACTGTTGAATAGGAAACTGTCCATACCGACTTCCCAAATATGCATTATCAATATACATACTTGTCGACGAAATAGACACACGCTTCCACTGTTGAAGATCTTGCACCAGTTCTCAACAGAGGGAAACAGAAAAACTAAAACTGTTGCAAATTGAACACACTATTAGCATCCTTCCTATTTCATACTGCACTAATAGTCTTAGTAAATCAAATTTACGGTCCTCCCTTAATTCTTTCCTTTTTCCCTTCCAAACTCGGAAACCGCTCATGTTTTTGCGTATCGCACGCTACTCTTTTTCCCCCAACACGAACCGGACTAAATCCGTAAAAGTTCCACTCAAATGTGTATCAACCAAATATAGCCATTCTAAGTTTCCAGTCCCTTCCACTTTCAGCCCGTTTGAGACCGTAAAGACACTAATTGTTTCTTGGCATGCATCCATCTAGAAAATTACGCCATCCGACCACTGGGACTCCATTTCTACAAAATTGCCCCCACCCCTCAGGGTTGGGTGAGTTGTTGGGGCTGGCTGGCCGGCTGGCTGGTGGGATAAAAAGAGGAGCATGGATTTTTCTACGAGATTCTCTCACGCTCCCACCCTGACGTTTCACCCTACTCTGTCCATAGGCGTACATGCATACATGCATTCAAACCTACATGTTCCTCATCACACAGAGAAATGGACTTAGGCAGCAGGCATGCGTGTGTGTGTGGTTCGGGGTTGGTGAACAAAATTACGGAAAGTATAGTTCGAGAGATCAACGTCTTGTTCACTTGGAGTCTGTGAATTGCTTCAGGCGGTTCATCGACTCTATCCTTACTGAAAAACGAAGGTTGCGNAAGGTTGCGAAATTTTCCATTTTTGTTTTCACACGAAATTCACTCGCTCTGTGTGTGCGACTGTCAGACTGGATATTCTTTATTTGTAGCTTAGCCGGTCAGTGTTTCGGGCATTTGATCACTCAACTGGAGATACACGATTTAGTGACTAGTAAAGAGTGCCCCTAATGTGAATTCCTCGATGATTAACTGAATGCATCATTTGGACAAAAATGACAACGAGGGTTCTTAAGTGTGGCTTACATCATCCACCTACGCGCACGGAAGATATTCAGATCCTGAAAACCAAACGCCTACAAAGCGACTGCCCAATTGGAGTAAAAACTCTGTGGGATGGTCATATTGCTTTTATTTGCCGTTTCGGTTGAGTGCAACCACATTATACCCATAATCGTCTCACCACGACTATCCGACAGCTCTACATTAGAAAAAAGGATCACAACTTTATTCAGAAAAGTGCGAGTGTATATTACAGACACACAGCTGCTCCTGTTTGTTTACTGCCTGGACAGTAAATCTGGTTTGGGATGTACTGCTCCAGTTTTGACTCTATTCGCAATCAATTGTATGTTTTTAATCACGGTTCTTTGATTGTGCCGCCTACCCAAGTCTTATTAAACCCAATTGGTTTTCTCCAGCTGGTAGTAGCAACTACAAATAAGATGCGATTCAGTAGGCAACCATTGGGCGTGCACGAAACATGCCCTTACTAACAAAGCCAGTTCTTGTTAATTCGAAGCTGTAGCGAATTTTTCCTCAACATATCTTCAAACACTCGATGGCTTACCTCTAGGGTATTTACTTGCTCACTTCATCCAGGTGCACAAAACTACACAAACACGGATTGCCGAAAGATTCTAGTCGCAGATTCACGCATTGAAACCAAAAAGCAGAACCGATCGTTCAGCGGCGCAGTATACTCGACTTTTCAAACCGAGTGAAACATCATATCAGTCCTAGGTATGTTGGTCAAGCCTCGGAAAGGCACGAGGTTATCTCCGTTTGGTCACGAAGGGTCACGAAGCTACTCAAGTTGAGCAAGCAATCCATTACAACCAATGCCTGGTCATCTAATTACAGAACAGGATTAATAAACACCAAGTCTTAAAGCATCAGTGAGTACATTTACGGTTTGAAAAGCATGCTAAACGGAGCAACGGAACTAGTCAGTTTGTCAAATGAGCTTTGTGCATCCTACATACATTCGAACAGATAAACAAAATCCTCACTGCACTCCAAATCGCACAGCTTTTCTCCCGTTGCCTATTTAATAAAAGCTTTTTAAAGACCACATAGTGCTTTCTCCAGTATTTCGTTTACGATGAAATGGAACCCGCTATATGTGAGTGAGTTATGAGTTAACATT